TTTTCCATTGGTCATGTAATATTTCTATTCATTTGTTGCCCAGATTTATTATCGTTGATATCCGCCCTTTTCCATTAACGATACATCATTTCCATTCATTTATTTCCCAAATCTATCATTAATGGTATTCATCCTTTTCCATCAGATATACGATATTGATATTTATTTCCCAAATTTATCGTTGCTAACATTCGCCTTTATATAATATTTATCTTCATTTATCTCTCAAATCTAGTATTGCTAATGTCCGCCCTTTCCCGTTGGCGATATTATATATCTGTTAATTTAATTTCAAAAATATATATTCTTTATTTATATCCTTTTCAATTAATTATGCAATATTTCTATTCATTTGTATTTCCTTTGTTTCCGATTCTTTCTTCCTTTTTAATAATCATTATTTCCATTTATTTATTTTTTCCTTCTTAACGATCATTATATCCGTTTTATTTTCCTTTTATCTTCATTCTTGTATTCATTTTCCCTTCTATTTCCTTTTACCTCCATTTTCGTTAATAAATATATTCATTTTATTTCCTTTCTTATTATCTCCCTTCTATTTTCTTTTATATCTATTCTTATTTTTTATTTCCGATCTTTACCTTCTTATTCATTATTATATACGTTATATTATTTCATTTTAATTCCTGTATATTTATCATTATATTCGTTTTATATCTATTCTATTTCCCTTCTTATTCGTTATTATATATATATTTTTTTCCTTTTATTTATTATTATCTACCTTTTTTACTAATCATTATATTAATTTTATTTCCTTTTTATTTTCTTTTATATCAATTCTTATTAATCATTAAATTCATTTTATTTTCCTTCTTAATATTTGTTATATCCTTTTTATCTTTCTTTTCATTAATCATTATATTTTTATATGTTCCTTATTTTACCCAAAATACAAACTAAAAAATAAATCCTATTTAAATCTATAATTATATAATCAATTTAATATATATATATATTAATAATATATTACCAAAAAAATATTAATATTAATATATTTTTGTTCAAATATATTTTTATTAATATATTATTAATAGAATAATATATATTTACCTAAATATTATGTATATTAAAATATAATAAAAGCAATGAATTTATTATAATTAATTCGGAATCGATTATCAAAATTAAATGGGTATTTTGCGATCCTAATTATATTTAATTATTTTTCAAATAATATTCGTTTTTTTCGTTTTCCTCAACCAAATTCGAGGTTCATCTACCCATCCAGGCCAAATTTTTTTGAGCCCCACCCCCACACCATCTATTGCTCACTTCGTTCGCCCGCCCATCGAGGACCCAGCCATGCCTATCGGCTGGATATCGTAATTATATGCAATATTGACAATCGATTGGAATCACTATTTGCTCGAATCTTTGGAAGCCTTAAATCCTTGGTTGTTTATAAATCCAAAGTTCGTCCCCCTGATTTAAAACATATTTGGGCGGTTGATCGTATATTTTTTTATTGTCAAAAGTTGCGTACTTTTTGTTCCTTCATCACAGAAATCGTTCAAACCAAGCAATCCAATTGTAAATGCGGCTCAACGTGCAGAGTGTCCTTCCTTGAACAAATTGCTTTTGGATGAGGTTTAGCATGTTGGACCATTGCAGAATTCCAAATAGTCCGCTCCTCAACAACCTTCAACTCTTCCTCGTAGCGCTTCAGTGAGCTTTGCTGCAAGCGCCGTATCTGCGAAGCATGGCTGAGAACATGGGAAATTCTATTGAATCACACTAATTCACCAAAGCATTCCGCTGAGAGGACTCCGGACAATCAACCTTCAAAACCCGTCGAGCTTCAAGGGAACTTTCATGGAGTTTTGGCACCACTGGTACTCCAAGCCAAACGCCTGCCACTTCTCGAACATTGACCTCAAATGTCAGTTCTAGAACAACACCACGGCGGATAGTGTCAGGGATGATTGCTGGATGTGGCTCGCAATTCAGATACATAGTGCTCTCCCTTGGCTATCTGCTGAGGCTGCGACATGATATGCGCCTTTCTGGTTCTGTATTTCCGCCAGTCCTGCTGGCGGTCAGGCTGTGACTCTGTACATTTTCTGGCTGTGAGTCAATCAAAGGCATTGCTGGCCTGGAACATGGACTAGCGCGCAAATGACACTACACATGTAAGTATGGCCTCTTCCAAGGTGGTGGAGCAATCCATTCACAACCAATCCGAACTTGAAGACACCCTTTCGGCACGAGTGTCCTTCACGCAGAAGAGGTGCTTGTAGTCTTGGTCAGAAAATGTATTGACACTCTTAGTCAAAATAATCAAACGTGCCTGCGATGCAAACTTCAAACAACATGAGAGCTAATCACAGCGCAAAATGCTTGCTAACAGCTGGATATGCTTGCCGTGCAATTTATTTTCAAGATCGAACATGATTTCAAACTCGTGGAAGAAGTTCATCAAACGTCTTCAGCGCGGGTCTTTGCACCTACATTGCTTAGGGCCCAGCGCAACGGAGTTGACAAACCAGTGTTGTACTGAGCGGCGACATCAATCGAAGACAGGACAAACACCCAATTAACTCATGATCTTTTCAAGGGGTGAACATCTCAACTAGATTATCCTTCAAATGGTTGGCTAGGTGCTGGATGAGCTGAACAATAAGAAGCCACTCTTGATAGCTAAAGATGCTAAAGCAAATAGGTTGTCCAACACATAGCTTTGGCGCCACTCACATGGCTCTGAGGATCGGATCGCTGAGGCTCCAGCATCAAAGACATGCACCCACTCGATGGTACCGGCTTCGGGTGAGAGGTGCTTTTCCTGTATGAGGTGTCTGGATGTTCTGTTTGGATGCTCACGAAGAAAAGTGGAAACATGATGGATCATGACATGAGTCATGAGTCATGAGCTTCAAACGCCCGTGGCGAACCCGATCCCTGCCCAAAGACTGCGAGTCTGGGTCCAAAAATAAGCTTTTCAAGCAAGTATTGTCTGTGCTGGACTATCTTGTTGACGCCTTGCCATTGGCTTACAAATACTTTGCAATCTTCGCAAAGCAATTTTTGTTTGCAACACACTACGAAGATAGAACATCACGTCCACTCCCTCTGCAAAGCAACTCCCGCCTCTAAGTATTTCTTGAAATACGACATGGCATAGGTATCACCCTGCCAAACTGCTGGAATAAGCTATCTTCTGCAATGCTCCGTCATCCCTCTATTGTCCACCATCAACTGCACTTGTTGTTAATCAATGCATCTCAAAATTACAGCTCAACTAAACATGGAAAACATCAAAGTGCATCAAAGAAACAAAACTGATAGAGACAGAGATGTCTCGTGTTCGTTTGGAAGCCGCTTCAAACACCCAACTGGAGCACCGATACATTAGAAAGATTTACAAAGTACCGTCTTTGCGACCAAAAACTCCACAAGTCTTGAAGGGAGAAAACGAAAACGCCAATTACGAGACTTCTTCCTTTCTTAGGCCCCCCTACTACTTAATTAAGTGGGCGCCTACTTGATTAGTAAGTTACGAGTAGCTCCTATGTAGCTCACCCACTATTCATTTGGCTCCTAGATGTTTAGGAAAAAATGAGCCACAAACGAAAGTAGCGTGCTCCAAGGCTTCGGTTCCCGTTTCAGAACTCTGGCTGCGGATCAAAACAACATTTGGCAAACTATGGCAGCACAACTTCCCCCCCCTGTGGATTTTACCATGGTAACCCACTCAAAGCACGGGAAAGGGTCGTTTCTGATCCTACACAATGCAACCTCGTTACGCAAGCTAGTCGAATGCCCCACCTGAAGGTGCCCGAGCATGAAGGTGGTTCGGATCTGCATCGAAGCTCTGGGTGTGGGTCGCGGCTTTCAACAGTCGTGCTTGTAACACACAAATGCGAGCCTCCAGCATACTAGCACAAGTAGCATCATGTATCGTCGAGAAAATGCAGTATATACAGTAAGGACTTCTGGCAGCCAACATCATGTTCAAACATCCTGATTGCTAGTAGATTGGAGGCCATTGCTATTAGGATGGAGGCCATTGCTATTAGGTTAGTCACTTGGTATTTCTCTAAGATTATCTAAAATCCAACTCTTCCCCCCCAACACACATACACACGCACACACTTTATGCGCTTGATTTGCCCAACATTGCCGTCCCAACATTGCTTCTAATCTTCATTCGTCATTTGTCCATTTGGCAGTACTATTGCATAACAAAGTCCAAAATAAAGGGAGCGCCTTCAACCAGCCAACCAAATGCAAATTCAAGGCTGTGTCGAAGACCTTCGCATCAAATGCCAAAGTGAAAGGTTGATTGATGGTGGCAAAAGACTGTAAGTATCTACGAGTATCTACTGACATCTGTCTGCAGTCAAGCACACCCAGCAGCCAAACAGCTGGGTACTGTAAACCTGGCAGCAACGCCTCCTTTTCAGCCTGATAGGCCTTCTCAGGGAAGAAACCCTTCACCTCAATGACAAACAAATTTCTTGCACGTCGTACAATGACTGCCCATATTTCTAAGATCAACATAGATCAAAAATTCAGAGGAAGTGTTGAGATTCACTGCCTAATTAAGATGCTGAAGCAACCTGGAAGAGGAAGGCCAAACTGCTACAAAACTGCCGCCGGCCCAACGACTCTACCACTTCAAAAATTGAAAAACAGTCAGAAGGTGCATGCTCGCAAGTGGTCAACAATGATCAGGCAAGCCCGCGCTTTGCATTTGCCGCACCTCAAACTGAAACTTGGATTGTAGCTCATGGAAGTTGTCTTCGTTGTAGTCTTCAGACAACCGACTAGCCTGGCAGCAGGCACACACTTAGGAAATGCGTACTGACTTGATTGCGGTTTGCCACGCGCCAACCTAGGCACCTAAATCCTGAGAAGTTCATGTAAAAATCTGGGCATCCTGGAGGAAGTCCAACAAAAGGAAGGTGAGGCCCGCCGACGAGCGCGAAACGACAGGATGACGGCGATCGTGCTCATCTGCAGAACTCACTAGCACTTTACAGCAGCCTATGTAATGGACCTGGAAACAGCCTGCGCGAGGGTGAACCACTGGAGTCAATGTGTTCAAAGCAGGTATGTCAACTCGGCGTCCCGAGTTGATATCACAGACCAATGCAAGCGTCTTTGTTAGTGCCAGACTTGCATGGTCCCTGGCACCCCCTTCTAAAAAGAAAGAAACTTCAAAGGAAGCCCTATGATTCCAAGGGTTTCACACACACACACACACCCGGCTAGTGTAAAGCCAGCCCTGAAAATCCCTGAGATGTGTTTTATAAGAAAGTTGCTGGCGAGGAAGCCACTGGTTCTTTGGGCTGTTCATTGACCGTCAACAACCGCGACCAATTACTTCATTCTGGGCCTGGATCATGTTCGGTGGCAGTGGCGATCTGTACTTCCTTTGTGTGGGAGGTGTTTCGCCTAGCCAATGTGTTGCGGCGCCCATTCTTTGTGTCCACTTTGTCCATGGCTCAGTCCCTCGTCACTCAGACTGGCTTGCCAAGAATGAAAGGAGCCAAGAAATGAAACGCGACATGCCTTCATAGTGGCCTGAAGTAACGTGATCCCCAACATGCGAGGCACACGGAGTGCAGGGTCGTAGGGCTTCTCAAACTGAGGGTAGCCATCCCTAAGTTGAAGGTGTCTTGAGACAAAGCCGTGGATTAACTATATAACCACCTTGACCATCTGGAAAAACTTTGCAACAGGAGTCTGAGTATGTCAACTGCTTCAACACACCGAAACAGCCATTCAGTGCCAAATGAATGTCAACTTAGGGGCACATGTTTGATACTGTTGCATCATGCATCAATGCCAGACAGCCCACAAGGCCGGCACACGATGAGCGGCTGCAGCTTTGGCCTTACCCGAAACTTTCAAGAGCCACTGGCTCTTTCCGAGCAAACCGAGGAAAGCCACGATAGGCAAAACGGCTCAGCCCGTCACTGGGTCAGCACACCATAGTTGGGCTTCCACTGGGTATTCGGCTTCCGGGTTTGACCCAAAAGCCTTAGAGACGGGGGTTGTATTGTGCATCCAATTCGATCAAGTTTGTTAACATGCTTTAGCTCTTTGTTTTTCTATGATAACCCTGTTCAATGTTGTTGTCGAATGGAATGCTCTCTGGGCTTCTGGCCTTTTGAATCGCCCCAGCTTTTGTTGCTGGACCATGGCCACTTGGTGCTACTTGAAAAAGAATCAAGCTCCTTTATTCGTGGACCTCGCTCCTTTGGAATGTGGAAACTTGAAGAGCAATGGGGTCTATCGCCATACCGGTCGGACAACAAGAACGGAACTAGTGAGGGCAGAAGCCTCCAAGGCTTAGCATGGGGTCTGAACACCCCATCATACGGTGTATGCTTGAATCCAACTCTGGTTTCCAAGATTGCATGAGGTTGCCCTGGCAATCACATCGATGAACATTGATGGTAGAACTAGACTATGTCGTCCAATTTTGCTTTGAGCAAGCTCGTCTGAAGACAGAATCGCTGAATCTAGAACCTAAACAATTTAGGACAGACTCTCTGCCTTCAACACTCACGGCTAGTTGATCCTGGACCATGTTTTGCATCGATGCAAGACCCTCAAGTTGGGAAAATCCTAGAATAGCTTAAGTCGGAATAGTTGGATGCAGTTCGTGCCATCACGTCAACACATGTCAACACCAGACGGACTAACGCGAACTTTCAGCCAGGAGGCCATGTGAAGGGTGAAACTGTGCTGTACAAGTGAGTCAATGATGGACCATGAACCGGAATTCATTGAAAAGAGGCAAGAAAAGGAGGAGGACATTGCTATTGGGTTGGAGGCCATCACTATTTGGTTGGAGGGAATCACTAGTAGGTTGGAGGCCATCGCTGGTAGGTTGGAGGGCATCGTTATTAAGATTCCCTACGAGTAGCGAATGATGGCCAAAAGGTGAAGGCCCTGTTGTATCTACAGCTGAGCAGCATTACTGAAAGCACTTCGCATGAATCATTGCAAGTAAGTGGGATGAGTCAACTCTGCAAGACAAGGTGGGGATTTGTTCAAAAGTTTGCGCAGCAACTTACAAGTCCCCCTCAACTGTGGTTTGCTGGCTTGGAATGATCCCCTTTCCCTTTGTCTGTCTGACCTTGACACAGTTTGGCATGGTCCACCATCCTGGTGACATCCTTTGTAAAATTGTAGAATGCACGGGTGAGGTGTTCTGTCAGGTCCGCCGCACGGGCGCCTGAAGCAGAACCTAAAGCTACATGGAAAACGCAGACTTGGCTTGAAAGCCTACAACTGCATATATATATATATATATCAATTGTGCATAGAAACAAGTAACATGGCTACGTTACTGCAATCTACCGAACTTACCTTTCCGGTTTCTTGCTAAACTGACTATATTATAGAGTGAAGTGCGGGCTGGGGGCTGTGAGGGCTAGTCTTTTTTTGAGTTTGTGGCTTCCGTTGTCGCTCAGGACACCTTCGCCAAATCCTTCTGAGATTGAGCATCTCGGACTCTGATGTGGGCCACCGTGGCAACAAAGGTGGCCTGAGTATCAATATGCAAACAATCAACCTAACGATCCATGCCTCGCTGCCTTAGTAGTTGTTAGTGTTCTTTGTGGTATTTCGCGGCATTTCCCATAGCAACAAAGGTGTCACACTCTGCATGGCGCCACTCCGTTTCCAAGTGCCACTCCGCAGCGCTACAGGCGCTCTCGAGGCCAAGGAAGTGACTGAGGCATTTCGAGATTGGAAACAAACCGACGCAAAGAACAAAGCATGGCCTCTCCAAGCTGGACAAATGGAATATCATCAGTCAGGTCACTGAAATTGGCTTTGCTACTTTGTCTTCCACCAGTTTGCAACTAGGGTGACCCAATGTGGTACAAAGTCACTATGGTCACTCGATGCAACATGGGTACTGAGTCATATCGAGTCTACCATCAGTTTAAGACCACTGACACGCCTGAACGGACCTTCTCCAGGGAAGCGGAAAGAGTAGTACAGCCCTGTCATGGAAGGAGTAGCGCTTGGGCAGCTATTTTTGAGGTGTTTAAACAAACTGCAAATGTCTGACATTATAACCCCCATACTGACATGACTGAAATCAGGTGCCATTTCTTTGCCAGTGCCCACAATGGTACTAACTTACAATCTTGCACAAGAGTGCGGAAATCTCCTTTACTCAACTCCGAGATGTTCCGCCAACTTGCCTAAGGTGTCCTTCGATATTCTTGTGCATGGCCCCATCGTCTACTCTCGAGCGGTCTGAACCCAAGTTTAGATGCTATATTGGAGGTTGGTGGAGAACACCAACCTTCAATACAAAAAAGCACGGGGAATGAATGGGACCGAAAAACATCCAATCCTACTTGGATCTACTTGGCTATGTCTCCACCCTATCTGTTTGCACTTCCTGAATCATTTCTGCAATTTCAATGGCAAAAGGCCATGCCCAGGATGCCAAAAGCAGCGAAAGCGATGACGGATCCCGCCACCTGAGCAAACCATTCCGCTCCAATCGCCAATCTAAATCGGAATTGTGTTTGGGTTTCCACCCATCGTCATGCATCTCCAACATCATCCCACATCTGAGAATCAAAGTCGCATTCTTTCTATTGCTGTCCCTAGTGTCTCTCATGGCACTTGCACAGGTATCTCAATCAGGTGGAGGAAAAGCACTCGTTGCCACCTGGACATCCTTATAAATGTAAAACACTTTCAAGCCTTGCACTATCTTATCTCAGCATCTCCCACAGTGTGCGATTCACCTGCGCGAGAATTCTCAGGAAAAGCTGCACCTGGCTCACTCCAAAGAAATGACATCGAGCCCACCCGAAGCGGTTCTTGACATCTTTCACACCGTGGATTGTGCAAAGGCACTGACAATTCACTTCGCCCGCCTTGGTCATCTGATTTCGGCCGCCAGCCCAAAGGCCAGCTGAGAGGAGGGGGTTGGTCTGCACGCCGCATCCTACCTAAGATTTGCCCAAAAGAAGTCGATGGTCATCAGAACATGAGACGAACATGATGCAGCCCAAAGCCTTGCGCTCAAAGATCTACAGTATACTTACCAGTCAGATCAGTTGAGGATCGACTCTCTTTTGAGAATAACTATTTCCCGGTTCTGAAATCTGGCCCTTAAATGAGTTCAATAGTGGTTCCTTGTTGAATCTGCGACTTCGAATTGTCGCCTCTAACAAAGAAGCTAGTGAGACCTTGACAGCATGAGACATATGACGAAACGGATGACAAGTCACCCAAGCTGCTAGGGATGCCAAGTGCCTTGGAGTGGGAGGGTTTCAGTGCCTCCACCTGATACCTGAAACGTCTTCAAACATTGCAGCGTCCCTGTTCCCTGCAATAGGAATGGAGCTGCCATTCTTCAAACAGCCTATGTCCAGCTCAAGCCACTGTGGAACTCCCAACTGCCGTGGTTGGTTCCTGCTAGGCTCCCGGCAACGCAATGCCGGGACCCTTGGCATCAGGCCATAGGCCGTGCCTCATGGGATGTTATTGGAGTCTCAAAAGGCCCCCCATAGGCTATGCCATAGGCCCCCGACTCAAGGGAATCACCGGAGTCTCAAATTACAGTAAGTACCGGCACCTGTTCTTTTTCCATCTCTTTTTTCAGACCCTTTCGACTTTTACCACAAACTCATGTCACTTGTGTTGTTTTCATCTTCACATCCTGTTTATCAGTTGTCAGCATCATTCAGCATCAGATCATCAGTCTTTGGTCTACAAAGTATGCATCTTGTGCATGGTTTACCTCTTTTGTTATGGTCTCCGGGTCTCCTCACTTCACTGTAGAAACGGACATGTTTTGTTTAATGCAACAGCTTGGGTATATCCCATTACTACCAGTAACAGTGGACGATAATGATTATAATGATTAATAACGGTCTTTCCCCAAAATAGTGAATAGTGATAAATATTTCACTGCCTGTAACTGGTAGTGGAACACACCTAGCAAGAATAGCTCGCAAGTGACACGTCAAAGGCTCTCGGGCCCGGGCAAAGCCAAACATCCGAGACCCAAAAAAGCAGCTCCGAGCACGTCCTTTTCACCAAGTCAGCGACACGGTGTGCCAACTCGCCGAATTCCCACTCTGGTATGCCAATGGTTTGTTTGGCTCGTGAATAAAGCTACATACACTGTCCACACTCAACTGAATCAGTCGGCATTTAGGAACAAAGAAACGGCGCTTGCTGCAATGCTGTCAGCTGTGTACGTGAACAAGGATGTGTGCAAAAAAGACTAAAATGATTGAAGATGGATTAACCATCAAGGAACTGCATGCCTGACTGGTCTTCCATATATCATATTAACCCTTCAACGCTTGCTGCTCAGGCTTGTTGAGTACTTTGATTGACAGCTCGCCGCATGATGTCAAGCAGGGCCGCC